TATCTTTTATTTTTAAACCCCAGGCACCAAGAACATTCAGTTGGAAACCCTCCAAAATGAAACAGTATTCTTCCATATAATGATGATAAAAATGTACATTACTGAAAGTTTTCTAGGGGGCAACATGGCAATAAGTGATGAGAGCTTTTAAAAACTGGCATATTCCAATTCAAAGTATTTATCTCAATGACATAATTAGGGACAGATAAAAGATTTAGCAACACCATGTTCTTTAAAGCAGTTTATTAGTGAAAAATTGAAAACCTAAAAATTCAACGGCAGTTTAATAAAATGTGGCACAAAGGATGGGGTATCATGCAGCCATTAAAAAAGATGTAGAAATATATTTGACACAAGATATTCATGGTACTATTGAGTGGAAAAAAGTTACAAAACAGTATGTACAACTTGATCCCATTAAAAAAATCTATAAATGCACAGAAGAGAGTCTGGAAGGCCATATACATAATTAACAGTTGTTCTTTTTGGATGATGGAATTAGAGGTGATTTTTAATCTCTTTATATTTTAATTTTTTTTCCAACATGGCTATGACTTGTATTATAAAAAAGCATTAACAATCCTTTAAAAGTCTCCTTTGAAAAAGGAATGAGAACAGAGCTCAGCATCCTAAGAGGGACAAGGATGTACACGTTAGTGTAACACTGCTTTAGTGATTTGTCAGGGTGAAGTGGCTGGCATTCAATAGTCACCAACTGAAAGGCACTGTGCTGAGAGGCAACGTGGGTGGTGGTAGTGCTCACCCTTTTCCAGACTAAAGGTATCCATTTCTAGAAACTTTCCTCAGCAACCAAGTACTAGCATTCTAAGCAATGTTATCTCTTACTTACACTAAGCGTATCTTTATACCTTCATATCCATAGCCCAGAAGATTCCTCTACACTTAGGAGAGCAGTATCACTGAAAGGCTACAAAAGGCAAGGAGAATTTTTCAAGTGATGTCAGATAGTAGGCCTGAAGGTAACATGCAATTTCTCTTAGTTCTAGTGCAGTGGATCTCAGACTTCAGAGTGCAACAGATTCACTCAACTGGCTTGTTCTAACAGATCGCTGGCCCTACCCCCAGAATTTGATTCAGCAGGTCTTAGGGAAGTCTTATGAATTTGCATTTTTTTCTTTCCTTCACCAAATATTGAGTACATACTATGTATAATGTCTTGTGCTAAGAGTTAGGGATTTAATTATGATGAAAAGAACTATAGTCTCTGTCAGGGAGCCTACATTCTAGTGACAGATATATACTGAATAAATTATAAAAATTACAATATAATTACAATTATGATTAGTGCTAGAACACGGTAAAGATCAGAAGATTTGGTTTTTAATCTCAAAATATTGAAAAAGCTGTCACATGAAAGATTAAGAGTAATTCCATAGGCCCTTGAAGACAAAAGATAAGTAGAAATTAAGGTGGAAAGTACTTGGAAATAGCAATTAGCATTTTTTTTTTTTGAGAGGTTTTTGCTATAGGACATGTGCGCTCGCCAGGCAGACAGAGAGAGACAGAGAGACAGAAAGCGAGAAATCACCCCCGAGGGGGGATGGCCACGCTGCAATCCCTTATCCTCCGTTCTCCTCTTGGGTACACACGCACACGTGCCCAGCGTGAGTTTTAAGCCACCGGGTCCGGGACGCGAACCGTGATCGACTACATGGGAGTCCAGCGACATAGCCATTTTGCTAACTGCTGGACCCCAATTAGCATGTTTTAACAACTTGCAGGCAATGCTGGGCCTCACACTGAGAACCACTGCTCTACTGAGAAGACTGTAATGTGGGAGAAAGAGCAGGTATGGCTGTGGAACGCCTGTCCCACTCTTGAATCACATCATGAGGTAAGAGTCAATCACCCAGAGAAGGGGTTGAGGCAGTGTTGGCGACAGGCCAAACTTAAAACCCTCTCTCTATTACGGATACTTGTTCAACTGAAGTCCTATATCATAGGGCAACAGATTTCAAAATTTTAGGTGTTTGAGAGGTAGGGAATTTTTTTCAGGAATCTTGTTAACAAAATATTGAGGGTGAGCAGGGTCTCTACGGGTATAAATAAGTCTGTGACTTGTCTTGCCCTCAACCATCTTCTCCCTCCAGTTTGTCTCAGAAATGTCTTTTCAGACCCAGCTTGCCCAGTCTGTTTGTCCCTTTGTTCTGGGGGAAGGTAACAGACTTTGAGGATCTGCATTAACCCGCTGGGGATCCTGCCTCAGGTTTCTTATTTCTCAGATTACCCAGAGCAAGGCATATTTCCCTTTAGAGGAAGCTCATCTGCTATACAAATTTTTCTGATTAGCACCATATAAAGTTTTAACACTATGACCTTTTAGGTTAGAATACCTTGAGGACAAAGGGAGACATGATCTAATCACTTTTCCTCCTCCCCTATTTGTAAAAGAGCCTATAACTATTGCCAAGTTTGTTGTGTGATTCACATGTGCATCCTTCACAGACAGCATTCTTTAAGATTAAGCTTAGGAGCACTGAGCCTATTTAAACAGTTCTGAATTGGATCATGAATTCAAAGGCTTCTCAGTTTATTCTCCCATGCCTAAGAAACTTCACAGGCTTTTACCTGAGTAATAACTAAACCTATGACTTTAGAATAAGCCAAAACCAAAATAAAATAAAATCCAACTGACCAAATAAAATCCCATTAAAATAAAAAGCAGTAAACCTAAGTCTACATGTTGCAGTAGATTTAGACAATGGTACAAAAATCTTCCAACCTTAATATTATTGAAGGTCTCTGTAGATTACTGGGTTACTATAATCAACATTTACCTGACAGGAAACTCCGATAAAAACATTTACATTGACCGTGATGAATTTACACCTAGATCTGGCTCTGACTTAAGGGAAGGGGGACAGAATTGTTAAAGAGGAAAGGAAGTATGGGTGTACAAGAGGTATCTCTGGTATACAGTTATTAACAAGGCCCTTATCTGGGTAGGTCAGGAAGCTACAGGAGCTAACAAGGGGAGACTAACATCTACAGAATGTTTATCACATGCCAAGCCTTGCCTTAAAAAGCAGCTAACACACAAGGTAACAATTGCTATAATCCTCCTAACGACACTATAGTGGCATTATTATTATTCCCACTTTACTGGTAAGGAAATGGCAATCATACTTCTGAGGTGAAGCTCAGAGAGCAGAGCATGAGAGGAAGACTGAATTTGCAAACAGGACCATTTCATTTTATTCCATTACCCATACTCTCTCTTTATTACTCTATTTCCTGTAAACTTATAGTTGCTATTTAAGTTGATTTGAATTTTTTATATGATCTTTCAAAGCTTAAATCTGAACTTAGAGAATACAATATGGTGTTCTAGGCTGAAGAACTTCCTTTCTGAGAAAGGGAAATCTTCATTTACTTGGCTCTAGAAAACTAATCAGCTTGAACAGGTTTGAGAGCTCTTTAACAATATGGCAATTCGTAGCCTAAGTTAAAAGTCTTGTACAACTATAAAATTGGAGAGGACGCTATCTCATAGCACAGAAATAAAAGGATAACAACTTCTGTTAAAGTTTGAATTGTGAACTAAATTATCAACATGTTTACCCAGTTTTCATTAGTTCTTAACAAAAAGGGTATTTTAAAATGGTGTTTAAGTACTCATTTTTAAAGCGCACCCCCCCCCCCAAGTTTTGCTAGATTAACATTCTCTGAACAAAGGAACTGCACGTTTGCATTCACACTTCAGCCAGGTTGAGCTACTTTGCACTGTCTTGGCTCCAGGTCTGGCACATCTTTTCTCTTTTGCCAGGAACACTTCCTATCCAAACTCTCTCCCCTCAAATCTGAGTTTAGTGACTCCTAAATCTAGTACCCTGTATCTTCCATCAAAGCACTAATCCTAATAGGACAATTGCTTATTTTTCTGTACCTTCTCCTGGTCTTTCTGCTCTGTAGAGGCAGTCTGTGTACATGTCGTTCAGGAATTCCCAGTTGATCAGTACAGTATCTGGCCCTCAATAAATGTTTACTGAAGAATGAATGAGAACAGAAGTCTTAACAGAGAAACAATTAGCCAATTTGCTGATTAACAGCAACTGGTGAATCATATCAATGGCCCAAATAGCAATTCTCTGGCTGTAAATGTGTCACTAAAGATTTCATTACTGTGCTTCATAACCAGAGATCCTGACCAAGATAAACTACATTCATTAAGTTTTTTTTTTTTTTTTTTAATTTGCTAGAGGCATATGTACCTGCTAGAGACCAAGAACAAAAAAAGTGAGAAAGTACCCCTTATGGGGGATGATCATTCTATAATCCCTTTTCCTCTATTTCTCCTTTCAGGATTTTGGGCATGCACATGTGCCCAGCATGTTTTCCAAGCTGATGGGTCTGAGACTCAAACCATGTGGTTCAGCCATGTGGAATCTGGCTGCCTTAACCACCATACCACCAAATGACCCAAATTTTCAGCTTTAATAGTAGGATTAAAGTAACCAAAAGATATTTTGTTTGCATATAATTTACTCTATAATGAATGTAGCTACTTTAGTCCACATTTTTATATAGATTTGTTGTTTAATAAAAACAAATTCTCTTTACTGCATTATGTTCTCAATGGATCCAACTATTATGCATTAAACTGAACTGACTGAATAATCTTAAAAACATTATGTCTAGTGAACTGAATTTATTTCAAATGTTTTAAAACCCTAACTACAAATATATCAGAGAAATATGGTAAGGACTGGTTGTTCATAAATTAAAAACAAAATCATTCAGTAGTGTTTAAAAAGAAAAACTAAAAAAAAAAAAAAAAAACCCATTAAAACATAGTATCGAAATCAATTTGTTTTCTGCTGAGAAACAAGGTAAACATTGTAAAACTGGATTTCTGTTTATGGAAGCACTCAGAAACACATTCTTCACAAAAGAGGCTTATATCCTAATACCCTAGAACTCTTTTTAAACCATAAACTTAAAACAAATTTTAATTTTACTCTTTGGCTATTAATTAGACCTAATAAATGAGTCACTGATATCAATTCACAATAAATTTATTTTACATAAAGAAAAAGCTTGCTGTTAGTGAAAAATTCAGTAGAAAACAGTTCTGCTTTAAGTTGGGGCTCAAAAGTAGAAGCTGCTTATTAGTGAAACCTCAGTAAAAAGAGAATTTTCTAAGAAAACATTCTTGGCATGAAAGCTCTAACATAAATTCTGTAATGAAATATTTACCATGCAACTTTATTGGCAGAAAAGCCAGTTTCTGATGGCTGGTATTTAATCTTCAGTCTCTTAAGACATTAACATGGAAGATACTGAAACCTGTTTTGTTTAGAGTTAATTGTACATAAATATGGTGTCGTGATGGGGATCTTTCCACAGTCCATCGATTCAATTGAGCAGCTCTAAGTATGTAATCGGCACCTTGCCCTTCTGGCTTCCTCTTTCCCCCATTAGCCAGTCTGAATCCATTCCGACGACACTAAACACAGTGATCACCTACAAAATAAAGTATTTCCAGTTATTAACTATACTGCAGATAAGCACATACACTGATCAGAATTATAATTAATTTGCTTAAAACTATTAACCCTCAAAGGACTTTAAACATGATCAATTATGTTGCAAGGTAAAGGATTTTAGTGGAGGCAGCTTTACAGATCTTCAGGTTATTTAGCAGCTAAATGTTCTAACTATTCTGTGATGTTCTATCATATTAAAGAACAGTGATTAAAATGTTATAAAATGTTAATGTAATTTAAAAATCAATGATAAATGATTCCTGATAAGTGATTTTTAGATATCTAATGAGGAAGCTCTACTTTGTCACATTAGAAGGCATGTCAATTCTTGCTATGGCTTTCTTTCATACCACATTACTCACCTCATCTGCCAGAAGTGATAATTCAGTACTGTTTGCAGCATCATAATCGTAGAGAACTCTGGCCTTCCTGCTGCCACTACACTCTTTTAGGTCATTGAGGTTGGGAGGAGAGGACATTACGAGGCCACTTGTTGAAGCCATGGCAGAAGAGCCGACCACATTTGGTAAAACAGATGGTACAGGTGTCACAGAAGTCTGATTGTTGTTACACAGATAATTGGATGGAAAACTATTGAAAAGAAAATAGCCAATTATTTATTTCCAAGTGATTAAAGTTCCTAATACCACCACTTGATGGCACTGTTTACTTTCTATCAACCTCTCTACATTTGGCATAAGATTTACAGATGCTAAGACTTTAATGACTGTGCTGTCTGGCTTCTTTGTCTCTGTTGGATCAGTTATTCAGTAGGTTTTCAAACATAAATCTTTGAAAATTAGTTTTAAAGTAGTCTTTATAATATTAATTAAAAACAAAAACACATACAATGACTATTTCTTTCCCAGAAAAAGTTTATCCTTAAAATGTTGCCAAAAACTTCTAGTCATGTGTTTTATTACTCTTTTCCTTTATAAATTTTAAAATAAAAATATAAATGTGAAACTACTTAAATATTAGATGCCACCACAAGAATAAAGCTTTCTGGGTTAATTCTTTGAAAAATATTTGAATACCTGGACCTTTTCCTTATAAAACTGGTCCAACCGTATTTTCTCACTCATTCAAACGACAAGTATTTACTCAGTTTCTACATGTTTGGCAATACTACCACAAGCTGAAGACATGAAGATGAAATGACACCATTCCCTTAAGGATATATAACGAGTAAGGAGATATTAAAATATTATGTATGATGATGATTACTATAATGAAATAGAAGACATTAGGAAGACGGGGTAAATTTCACAATTTTAACTTGTTCTACTTTTTAGGTAAAAAAGTTGTATGTGAAATCTTGTGATTAATCTTGTGATTAACAATTTGAACAATTTTCCATTTATTTTAAGGTTACCATTTCCCAAATACTCCTAAATGGAAAAACAGTAGGGAACCAGCAGTTGGCGTAATGGCTATGTCGCTGGACTCCTACATAGTCGACTGCGGTTCAAGTCCCAGACCCAGTGGCTTGGAACTCACGCTGGGTGCGTGTGCGTGCATGCCCAAGATCCCGAGAGGAGAATGGAGGAGAAGGGACTGCGGCGTGGCCATCCCCCCCGGGGGGAGGGGTGATTTCTCGCTTTCTGTCTCTATGTCTCTCTGTCTGTCTGGCGAGCGCACGTGCCCTATAGCTAAAACCTCTCAAAAAAACAAAGAAAAAAAAAAAAAAAAGAAAAACAGTATAAAATGCTGTCCTATAATCATACTAACTCAACCATTTCTAAGGTAAAAAATTATGAATACTCATATTAAAACTTTTATAAGCCTATTAGTTAAAATATAGAAGATCCCTCATCTGGTAAAGTGGGTAAAATTCACCCCTCCAGAACATAAAATTCCCCTTTTCTAAGACCCTTGTGTCACTTGGAATTTAGTCAGTCAACAGCAAAGTTGCTTATCTTTAACCTCTTCTCCAAGCCTTCCCTCTCACCCTCTTATACTAGTGTTTATTTCCCACACTCCTCTTACTTTTGGACCCAGAGGTGAATGGAATGGGAGTCCTCTGTTTTTCTTTACGATTTCCTGAACTGATTCTACTCAATCTTTCAGTTTCATGTTATTAATATTTGACTATATATTAGCCACGATCTCTTGTTGCAATCATCTATAGATGCCTCATTTCCTTTATTTCTAGATGATTTTAGCTCCTGGGTCACTGATAATTCTGGGTGATTTTAATATCCAGACACAGAATCCTTTCAACACTTTAGCCTCTTACATCCATGAATTCTCTTCTAGTAATTGTATATTTGACCCTAGTTCAGCACCCACCCATTCCTAAAGCCACATCTAGACATTACCAACTCTAATAACTATACTCCTTCTAATACCATAATCTCTATCATCCCGTTCTCTAACTCTTCACGTTTTTTCCTTCTTGCGCTCTCACTTCAGCAAGCCTGCCAGGACCTGCCCCACACTCTCTCGTCCGTGGCTGTTGTAAGCAGCATATGCCCACATTTCTTACGCCTCACTTCACTGCGCTCGATTGGTAAAAACCTTCCCATTTGCTTATGCAGTATCCATGCATCTACTGTGACCGAAGAATAGAAACCCGGTTGGTTCGGTTTTACATTCAATTTATGACTAAGAAACTCGAATGGGTGCACAATGCTGCCTGGCAGCGACACTGCATTTCTCTAGTTTGTTCACTCTCACCCTCCGTTTCCTGGATGATTATTGCATGCCCTCTTCTCCATCCTTAAAATCACAGGACTTCTGCCCCAACCCTCACATTCAGTTGATGAGCTTGTTTCTTTTTTAAATAACAGGGAAAAGAACAATTACGAAACTCTTGGGCATTTCTCTTCTTCCACAGGTCAGCTGTCTGTTCTCATGGCAAATTCTTTTTTGTTTGTTTGTTTTGGAGAGGTTTTTGCTATAAGGTGCATGTACTTGCCAGAAAGACAGAGGAAGACAGACAGCGAGAAATCACCCCCTTAGGGGGATGGCCATGCTGCAGTCCCTTCTCTAGGGATCTTGGGCAAACACACACACACATGCCTGGTGTGAGTTTAAGACACCGGGTCAAGGACTTGAAACGTGGTCGACTTCGTGGGAGTCCAGCAACACAGCCATTATGCCAACTGCTGGTCCCCTTCTCATGGCAAATTCTACATAAGCACAAAAAATCATCCCTTTTGTCTTTCAAGGATATCACTCTAGCAATTCTTCCTTTTGGCTACCACATTATCATGTTTTCTCTATAAACTGTATTATTCTACCAGTTTATAAACAGGCTCTTATTTTTCCCATCTTAAAAAAATAGATAAAATGTTGCTGGACCCCACATTCTCTTCAGGCTACTGTCCCATTTCTCAGTTCTTCATTATACCAGAATGCCTTGGAAACCCTGGAATTTGTCACATGTCCTCTCCTTCCAGTTCCTTACATTGCAAACAAACTTGGCTCTGTTGGTTTCACCAAAACTACTTGTCAAAGTCAGCAATGACTTCGACGTTCCTAAACCCAACTGTCAATTCGGTCTCCACCTCACCTGACCTCTCCAGTAACAGATAGTTTTACACCTTTTCACATGACTTCCAGGCCGCAGACCTGGCTTACATTTTATCTTGCTGCTCACTCCTTACCACCCTGTGCCTGGCTCTGCAGCTCTCTGTGCGGGAGTACTTCAGGGAAGTACTATACTTACTCCTTTGGTGATTCATCTGGCCTCAACAGATTTAAATACCCTTGATATCATATTTAAGCAGCCCCTGTAATTTTACCACCTCACACCAAACTTCAGACATGTAAATTCTAAAATCATGTACCTCCACTTACATGTTTATTAGATATCTCAGACTTACCAGGTCTAAAATTGGGTTTCTGATATATCTTCTGTGCTTCCACCCCATCTCCAAAACCTGCTATCCCTACAGTATTCCCATTTTAATTAATCAAAACTCCACTCTTAACGGTTGCTCAGTCTAAAAACTTGCAGTAACTCTTGACTCCATTAACTTCCACACACAGTCTATTTAGCAAATCCTGCTGGCTCTAGCTTTAAAAATATGTCCAGGATCTGGGACCAGCAGTTAGCATAATGGCTATGTCGCTGGACTCCCACATAGTCGACCACAGTTTGAGTCCCGGACCAGGTGGCTTAAACTCACGTCGGGCGCGTGTGCGTACATGCCCAAGATCCTGAGAGGAGAATGGAGAAGGGATTGCAGCGTGGCCATCCCCCCGGGGGGTGATTTCTCGCTTTCTATTTCTGTCTCTCTCTGTCTGTCTGGCAAGCTCACGCGCCCTATAGCAAAAACATCTTCAAAAAAAGAAATATGTCCAGGATCTGACCACTCCCATCACATCTATCACAACCACCCTCTCCAAGCTACCACTATTTTCTCACTGGATTATTAACTAAGTTATTGCAATAGGCTCTAAACAGGTCTATGACATTTCCACCATGTCCTCCAATATCTATCTTCAATGCAGCAGCGAGAATGATACTGTAAAATCTTCAAATCAGTCACTCTTCAGCTCAAAACTCTCCAATGGCTACTCATCTCTGAGTAAAGACTAACGTTTCCTTAACAGTGGCTTCCCAAGTCCTTCATGTTGGAGTTCCATTTCTTTTATTCTTCTCCAGCCAAGCCCTCCTTGTTTCTTGCACATGGCAGCTGTGTTTCCACTTCAGGGTTTTTGTACTTGCTGTGCCCGCTCCCAGAGCATCTTCTCGCACATGCTTGTATGTTACTTTCTCCCATCTTTCTCCATCAAGGTACTCCCTGCTGTATTTTTCTTTGCAGCATTTATCACCTTCTAATGAACTGTGCACTTTATATATGTGTTAATTTTCTGCTCCTCTCTACCCCTAACAGAATGTTTCACCACGGCAGGGATTTGGTTGGTTTGTTTACACTGTATCCACCATACTTAGAACAGTGCATTTTAAAAATGAAAAGCAAATGTTCCTCTGTGCACAACTTAAACTGTCTAGAAGTGAATGCTGTTACTCAGTTACTGCTACTATGAACACTGCTGTGACAACAACTAAAAATACAACCTGGTTTGACTCTTCAGAAATAGCTTTAATTTGTTAGCATAGATCTGGATGGTGTGTGAAATTTGTCTGTATTTGAATATTTTTATGTACTATCTTTTAAAGAGGATAACTTATGATAAATTAAAGGCTAAATCTGCCCCACTTCCAGTCATTTATCCTTAGTAGCAATATGGTTCTTTGAGGGCAGAGAGACAAACTAGATTTTCTTCTCTAGAATAATAGCACTGGTTTTACTTCAAAATGTTGAATCCTGCCCTAAAGTACAGCAATAACGAGATTTTGTTTGAATGACCGAGTTGCCAGCATTGTGCAAGTAGGAATGGTAACTAACCCCTCTGCTGCATGCCCATGGTTTGAGGACAGAGTGAAAAGGAAGTAGTATTAAGGCTTCTTGGGCTGGTAGTAGTTATAATAATGTGGAGACAAAGTGGTGTTTTGCCTTCTGATAGTAAAAATCACTAAAAAACCTCAAATGTACAGGAATGCAAATCCTATTGGAATAACTAATAATACTAGGCCATATCTCATTTTTAAGATTAACACTGAAGTGCTTTTTTCTTAACCCTTATTCCTTAAAAATAACTTTTCTTGGTACTCCTCCATCAAATGTCACGTATCACTCTCCTGCTACAATGGTTCTTTGGTATATTAGTTACAAATTCCATATCTAACTTAATCTAAAGGCCACTAATGGCATAACTCTGCTTAACTCTGCTAGCCTCATCTACTATTCCTTTTTTTTTAAGTTTCCTTTTTTTGTTTCTTTCATGAGGGAACGAGACATAGAAGATGATACAGACCCTGGAAAGGGTCCCAAGCCTTGATCCTTCCCACAGACTTTCTAAGTCGGCCAGGATCATGGGTACATGTGCATGTTCTCTCATTCCTCTGGCCTTTTTTTAAAAAATTATATTTTGGAGAGGTTTTTTGCTATAGGGTGCATGCGCTCGCCAGAAAGACAAAAAGAGATAGACAGAAAACGAGAAATCCCCCCCCCCACCCCCCAGGAGGATGGCCATGCCGCAATCTCTTCTCCTCCATTCTCCTCTCGGGATCTTGGGCATGCACACACACATGCCCGGCGTAATTTAAGCCACTGGGTCCGGGACTCGAACTGTGGTTGACTACATGGGAGTCCAGTGACATAGCCATTACACCAACTGCTGGTCCCTCTTCTGGCCTGTTTATATACATGCATTTATATTTCACTGGAATATTTATATCTGTCCCCTTCTTCATCTAGAATACTAATAAATTTATCTGAGAAACTTTGTGAGAGGCACTTAAGTCAGTCAGAAGCCCTCAGAATACCCTGCACGTCTACCTCCACTTACCACGAGTTGTCCACCAATGGCCTATCTTATTTAGTGTTGTAAGAGGAGAGACTACATTTGCCTTGTACATTATTTCTACAGTCACTCTACAGGTGAGCTCCATAAAGGTAAGCATTTTTGCCTGTTTTGTCTGCCGACATAACTTCAGAATATAAAACATGGCAGGTATTCAATAAATACCTGATTAATGAATGACTGAGTTATGCATTTTACATACTATCATTTCGTTTTAATACATATTACTATACTCAAAATAATCACATTAGTGGGATCAAGGTCTTACAGAATATTCCAAAAAAATTTTTAAATACAGAAAACAAATAATAAGTAATTATAAATTAGTTTATCTCTAATGGTGACTTAAAGTGTTCCTGCAACTATTGGTTTGTTGGAAAAGTCATGATCTGTTTTTCTTTGCAAAAATGAGTCATGATTTTTCAGACGACCCAATATATCTTCTTCAACCAACAGCAAAAATTATTCAGTAGCAGGAGAGAAAAAAAATCCTCAAGCACGTTTATGCCTTTTTATATAAAAAAGGTAGTCATTTAAATTTCTTCTCATCCCTATTAACAACCTTCTGTTTCAGAAGGGGTTAAAATATTTTATTACTTCAGATTTTGAATTACTTTTCTAAGAAAGGAAGTCCAATTCTAAATAAACTAGTAAGAGCCTTTAATTCTTCTCATTTTTATCTCTACTATTAGTTTATACACAAAAACCTGAATTTCTTCTCTTAAATGGAGTTTTATACGTGAAAAGGAAATCACTACCTTCCCAGTTGTTTCTGGAGATCTAACATGTACTGGTAACACTGTGCATAGTAAGTCATCTGGGCTTCTACAAAGTCATTCAGACAGCGAAGGTGATGTGCCTGTAAAGGAAAGTTACAGTCAGTTCTTGGCTCTGTTCTCTACTTAATGCGGCAAATGCTAGGTGGAGACACAGTACTGCATTGAGGGAGAACCACATCTAACATCCTACTAAGGCTTAAGACTGACATTGATTGACAGCACAGTAACAAACTGCTTAGCAAAAAAATACCAACAAGTGGAACTGTGGAGGGTGACAGAACTAGGTGATATGGTGCAAACAAAGATTTAAAGCATTTCCTCACATATTTTGGAAAGTGCAACTTAGATTTCCTTGATAAAGGACTGTAAAGGTGTTCTAGTTTCTCTCCCCAAACTGGTTTAGAGCTATCAAAGTCTTTTGTTCCGATGAGCTTCCAATGAATGAACACTCACGTGTGTACTGCTGATTCCCTCTAGCAGAAGTCTGGTAATCTCTGCTTGACGATCAAATTCACTTTGAGTTATTCTTAATTCCTGTTCAGACTTAAATTAGAACACAGTATTAGAATCTCACTGGAAGACAGCTCATCTTACATACATTTCTTTTGAGAGCTAAAAAAAATCCTTCAGACAAACCCCAAATTATAATCTCGAAAATTCCTAACACTGCTTTGGATCTAAACTGGCCCCTGGTTTCTAGACTTTGGCTTTTCTCTATCACTGTATCTTGACTAATACCTTACCAGCACTTGACTCAAAAGAAATCTATTAATTCTGAAGGTTAATGACATACTCATAAGAGTCTAGAAAAACTATTAATGGACAAAATATTTTTATACAATTTTAGTAACAGCATTGCTAAAATTTAATTTTACAAAATTTTAAGATGACCTCACTTTTACAAGTGATAAAATATTAACTGCAAAAGTTTTCCAATGTTACTATACTTTTTTACTTGGAAAAAAGACTTCACAGACTTAAGAGAGAAACCATTGGATTTTTGCCTCTTGTGTTATCAAACACTTGACTTGTTTTTAAGGAATGTAGTTTTAGGTTCCTTTAAATAATTATTTGCCCTATATTTTAAAAGTTCTTTCTGAACTATGACTAAAATGTGTTTTAAGCAAAAAGACTTTGTTAAGATATACTCGAGTCTTAAAAAAGTTTTTCAGTAAGTTATGGTTGACCTTTAATCAATGGGACACTACCAAACTGGTGCTCAGGAAATATAAATGCTCTTCTATCCTAACTGTCACAGTGTCAACACTCCCACCATGGATGATCTGAAGCTAACAAGGTGAAGTCATGAACCCAGAGTCTGGAGGACACATTTATGATAGCATACCACTACTAGCTTCAACTTTCTGATATAGGCTCAGTGCAGGGACAAAACAGTTCATTGAAAAATCAGTGTGATCTAAAAATAGTAAATACTGAACCCCCGCCAAAAAACAATAACAAAAACAAAACAACTCAAACTGCTAGCCAGAGTTGGTTGGTAATAAGTGGGGAGGAGAAAATAAAATTTCACAGAGCACTCAAAATAATCTGCTTACCCCTCACTGGGAATTATGGGTGACAATGTCATTTTAATACTTTTACTACCTTTCCAGCATAAATGGCCTTTTCCCCCCTCCTATGCAAATAATTTACACCACATCCAAGGTGTAGGAAGTATAAAAACAAGGTCTGAACTTTTTCCTCTCACATCCTATCTTCTTGTCCTTTACCTTTGGTGGCAACAGATTACCTAGGGAGCCAGTCAATAAAGCAGCAGCAGTGAAGTACAGAATGAGTAGCTATATCCCATTTGCAATGGCCTGGCAAAGGGGACTAAGAAATGAACACTAGATTGGAATTAGGGAAACAGCTTGAATTACTCAATAATCAACAGTTGAAATTAAATTTATGTGACTAAAACCAGAATACGTGGTGCTTTGATAGTAAGAATAACATAAATTTCATATTAATCAGGAAGCTTGAAACTGAAGTGGAAATATTTTAATGCTAAGTACACTGAATAAAAAATAATAAAATGGCCACAGAGCAATCAGTCTAGGTCTGAACAAAATCTATGAAGAAAGAAAGGCACCATGTTACAAAGCCTAGAAAGTCATTCTTTACAATATACATTTTATATTTAGGAAAGATAAATGATAGAAAAGAAAAAAAATCACATTTCTCAAACAAGATTCAGTATATGTCTATGGTGGCTGCAAACACAACTAAATCCAAACCATCAATATTTCTGACATATGTAAACTGATCATAATAATTAATCTGAGAGGTTAAATTTAAACTAGGATCAGCATAATCAGGTTACTTGGGAAGAAAACAATCCACATTAGAAGGACGGTTTATAAAGAAGTCAAAAGACAACGAATTTAAACA